TGGGCATTCAGTGCGCGCGCCGGAGAGACCGGCCCGCTGGCTCCTCTTCCTCGCCCTGCTGGCGTGCGGGAGGGGAGGGCAGAGGGTCTTCTTCCCTGGGAGGCGGGGCCGACCCCGACGTGCTTTGTTGGGTGCCCACACAGCTTCCAGGGCTGGGACTGTCTCCTTTTCTGTTTGGGGATGGGTCGGCAGCAGCGCCTGATCACAAGGGTGACGCCTTAGAGCCGTGGCTCTGTGGTTTCGCCAGGAGGAGGGTCAACAAGCCCCCTCCCCCCATCTCCATGCCTGGAGGAGGGCGGCAAGCGTGAGGGGGCCGGAGGGATTGGGTAAATCCCCCTGGACGGCTGGGGACAGATCAGCGCCGCAGTTTGCTCTCCTGGTCCTGCCCCAGCCTTTTCTGGCGACGGTGTGAAGCACGGTGTCCAAGAGATGACTGTGTGGACGGGAAGGGAGCGAGGGGAGGCACAACGGAGCGCACTGCTGCAGCACAGACTGCTCTACTGGGGAAGGAGCAGTCGGTTCTGTCCTGTGGGCGCCACCTAGAGTTCGTTCACGAGGGCAGGGCTCGTGGCTCTGCGTGGACCGAGAGCAGGCGGGGTAGGGCAGTGGGTGACGCTGTGACAAGTTACTTGCTTAATCCAAAGTCTCCCTTATAGTTGTTTATAATGGAATATTCCAAAACGTGTCCTTAGGATCTCGTAGTTAGTTACATAGGGTTTTGTAGAATCATCTTTGTGGACCCTTTTAGTTAAAGAAATTTCTACATAATTTTGCCTTTGTCAGTTTGAAATGAGAGTGCTCTGATTTTAGGAAATAGACTTCAGATGCCCTGGGTTGAATCTTGGCTCTGCTGCTTGGGCTTGTTGCTTGATTTTTCTGAGTCTCAGTTCCTTCAGCTGTGAACGGGGGTTAAAGCTAACAGTACTTCGTCTACACAGCAGTTCTGAGGGTGAGGGACCCTCATTCCGAGATCTGTGAAAACCCATTTCCCATTCCTGGGAAGCGATGAGAGTGGTCAGGGCTTGGAGGTATATGGCAGTTGAGAACTGTAGGCAAAGAGCTGGTGAATTGGACAGAGCGGTTTCAACTGGTGGGAGGAGCGGAAGCAGGTTACATAGGGTCAAGGAGATCATGGGGTCCTGAGTTGAAGAGCTGGCAGGGGTGAAGGGAACGGTACTTGGGTGTATTTGACAGGGGAGTTTGAGAGGAGTACAGGGGATGTGCATCTAACAAGAAGGACCGAGCTTGATTCATAATAGGGGTGGAGGTAGTGAAGAATGAAGGGAGGAAGAGGCTCTGTTTAGAGGAGGTGAGAGAAGAGGACCCAAGAAGAGGGTGTGCTTTTGGGAGCTGCTGTGCTGAGGAAATGAGCAGGGAAAACAGGAGGGTTTCTGAGGCTCACGGGCATGTTAGGCTAGTGAAAATTAATTTTTATGTTATTTTTCTTTTTAGTAATAATGGACAAATACCAGGAACAGCCTCACCTGCTGGACCCACACCTGGGTAAGAATAGAAGCTGACAGCTTTGATCATTCAATTACAGGTGACCACAAAGGATGTGGTGTATAGCGCTAATGTGTGTGTGTTTTGCCAGCAGAAGGTGACAGGAGAAAGTGCTAAGAAGTGTCCCTGTCTTATTTGCTTGCAAGTCCAGCTGGTTGCTGTGGGCAGATATGTTAGATTTATTTTTCCTCTCTGCTACCTAACACACTGTTTGCTCTTCATATGCTTGTCTTAATCTGTTTACATCTGGGCACATGTTGTTTTTCTGATAATCACACAGGGCCAAATGCTTTACATGGGTCACTATTTAATCCTCACAGCAGTTAGCAGAGAGGCCTGGTTAAGTTTTTAATTTTTTGTAGAGACAGGGCCTCATTGTGTTGCCCAGGCTGGTCTTAAATTCCTGGGCTCAAGTGAGCCTCTTGCCCCAGCTTCCAATTATTATAGGTCCTGGCCTTCTGGCTTCTTTTGTTAAAATATTATTTCTGGGACTCATCCATGTTGGTGTGTACTTCAGTAGTTTGTTCCTTTTTTCTTTTGTTGGTAAGCCACAATTTGTTTATTCTTTCACTTATTGATGGACGTTTGGGTTGTCTCCAATTTTTAGCTACTAATAATGCTGCCATGAAAACTCATGAACAAGTTTTGAGTAGATGTATGTTTTATTTTCTCATGGATAAATACATGAAAATGGAATTGCTGGACTATATAGTAAGTGTATACCTTATAATAACCTGTACTGTTTCCATAAAGGTTGTGCCATTTTACATTTTACCAACAATGTATGAGAACTTCAGTTGTTTTTCGTCTTCTTCAACACTTAGTATTGTCAGTCTTCTTGATTTTAGTGGGTATGGAGCGGTGTCTCTGCATTTCCTAGATGCAAATTGCAATTCTTTTACATTTACTAAGACTTATGGCACAGAGTATGTTCTGTTTTGTTGACTGTTCTATTTGCACTTGGAAAGAATATCCTGTGGTTGTTGGGTGAGTTGTTCTATAAATGTCACTTAAGGTTGTTGATAATACTGTTTAGGTCTTTTATATCCTTATTGCTTTTCTGTTGACTTGTTCTATTAATTCCTCAACAACTATCAACATCTTGCAACAGTTTTTCCTTTCAGTTGTCTCAGTGCTTGCTTGCTTTGCTTGTTTTGAGCTCTGTGAATTGGTGTATACACTTACAGGATTATTATGTCTTCCTGATGAATTGATCCTTTTATCGTTATGAAATGTCCTCTTGGCCAGGCATGGTGGCTCATGCCTAAAATCCCAGTGCTTTGGGAGGCCTACATGGGAGGATTGCTTGAGGCCAGGAATTTGAGACTAACATGGTCAACATAATGAGGTCCCATCTCTACAATAAATAAAAGCATTAGCCAGATGCAGTGGTGTTTCTAGTTCCAGCTACTTGGGAGGCTGAGGTGGGAGGATTCCTTGAGCTCGGGGGTTGAGGCTGCAGTGAGCCACAATTGTGCCACTGCACTCCTGGGTGACAGCAATATTACCTGTCTCTCCAAAAAAAAAAAGAAAAAGAAAAGAAATGTCCTCTTTTACCCTGGTAATCTTACTTGTTCTGAAATCTTCTTTGATATTAATATGGTCCTTCCAGCTCTTTTATGAGTAGTGCTTGTTTGGAATATCTTTTTCTTTCCTTGAACCTTTTTTTTTTTTTTTTGGGTTGGAGTCTCACTCTGTCGCCCAGACTGGAGTGCAGTGGCCGCTCCCGGCCACCGCAGCCTCGACCTGCTGGGCTCCACGATCCTTCCGCCTCAGCCTTCCGAGTAGCTGTAATTACAGGCATGTGCTACCATGCCCGGCTGATTTTTTGATTTATTGTAGAGATGAGGTCTCGCTGCACAGGAGGGTCTCGAACCCACGGGCTCAGTCAATCCACTCACCTCAGCCTCCCAAAGGCGCGGGATTATAGGCTGAGCCACCGAGCCCGGCTCTTTCCTTGAACTTTTAACCTAGCTATGTTTTTACTTTTAATGTGCATTTCATGTAGATAGACTATAGTTGGGTCTTCCCTTTTAAAAATCCATTCTGACAATCTTTGCCTTTTAATTGGAGTCTTAAGGCCATTTTCATTTAATGTAGCTATCAATATGAGTGCTTTTTAAATTTTTATTTTAACAAAATATCGCTGTGTTGCTCAGACTGGAGTGATTATACACTGCGGTTGTGTGATTATAGCTCACTGCAGCCTTGGACTCTTGGGCTCAAGCCGTCATCGTGTCTCAGCCTCCCAAGTACTACTGGTACAAACCACCACACCCTGAGAATTTTTAAAATTATTTTTTGTAGAGATGGGGATCTTGCTGTGTTGCCTAGGCTGGTCTTGAACTCCTGGCCTGAAGTAGTCCTTTTGTCTCGGCCTCCCAAAGTGCTGGTATTGTAGGCATGAGTGAGTTTGGGTCTGCTCTTGCTGTTTGCTTTCTATTTTTCCATCTTATTTTGTATTAATTGAGCACTATTTGGTCTTCTGTGTTATTTTCACTGTTGGCTTTTAGCTGTCCCTTTTAAAATTTTTTAGTGATTGTGCTGTGATTTACAACATGCATCCTCAAGTTATCACAGTCCGTCACTTCATCTATACAAGATTGAAATAATCTTCCACTTCATGTATTCAGGATTCTTCCACTTCCCTCTCCTGTTCTTTGCCATACATTTTACTTCCATGTATATATGGTATAATTTTTGCTTTAAACACTCAATTATTTTTCAAAGAAGTTAAAAATGAGAAAAAAGGTATTTATATTTATTCATGTGGTTATTATTTCCAGCTTTATTTTTTGTTTTCTATAGTTTGCAGTTTTCATTTGGTGTCATTTATTTTCTGTTTGGAGAATTCTCTTTAATGTTTCTTCTGGTATAGATTTATTGGTGATGAATTTTCTCAGCTTTTTATTTTATTTTACTTTTTTAGAAACATGTTCTCACTTTATTGCCTAGGTTGGAGGGCAGTGGTGCAATCATAGTTCACTGTAACCTCTGATTCGTGGGCTCAAGCTCCTATGTCAGCCTTCCAAGGAGCTGGGATCACAGGCACGTGCTACTATGCCTGGCTAATTTTTAAATTTTTTTTGTAGAAACAGGGCTTTATTATGTTGCCCAGGCTGGTCTCAAACTCCTGACTTCAAGTGATCCTCCCACCTTGACTTCCCAAATTGCTGGGATTACAGGCATGAACCACTACTCCTGGTCTTTTTCAGCTTTCAATAGTTTTTTTCACCTTTGCTTTTGAATGATATATTGTTATTTACAGAATGTTAAATTGACAATTTTTTCTTTCAGCACTTTAAAGGGTGTCATTCTACTGTCTTCTGCTTTGCATTTTTTCAGAGAAAAAGTCTTTGTTCATTCTTCTTAAAAAAAATTTTTTTTTTTTGGCCCGGCCCGGTGGCTCAAAGCCTGTAATTCCAACACTGTGGGAGACCGAAGTAAGAGGATTGCCTGAGTCCATGGGTTCGAGAGCAGTCTGGGCAGCTTGGTGAGACCTCATCTCTACAGTAAATTAAAAAATGGTAGTGTGTGCCAGTAGTTCTGGCTACTTGGAAGGCTGAGGTGGAAGGATGCTAGAACCTAGCAGGTTGACACTGGGGTGGCGGTGAGCATGCCACTGCACTCCAGCCTGGGCAACAGAGTGAGACTCCAACTCAAAAAAAATTTTTTTTTAATTTTAAAGATGTGGGGTACAATTCAGGATTAGGTATGTAAGTGGTCATTGTGTGCAGATGAAATTTGGGTCTCCCATTGATCTGTTTGTTCATTCTTTGTTTCTCTATATGTAATATGTGCTTTTTTTCTTTGCCTGCTTTTAGAATTTTCTTTTTATCACTAGTTTTCAACAGTTTGATTACAATATGCCATGGTATGATTTTCTTTCTGTTTATTCTGCTTGGTATTTGTTGAAACTTTGGATCAATAGGTGTATCGTTTTTTAAAATAAATTTTGGAAATGTCTGGTTATTATTTCTTCATTCATTTTCTGTGCACTTTCTTCTCTCCTCTGGAACTCCAATTATACAATGTTAATGTAGTTGATACTGTTGCATATGTCACTGAGACTTTGTTCAGTCTCTCTTTATCCTCCTTAGTATAGAAGTGTTGTTACTGTGTCTGCAGGTTCCTGGATCTTTTTTTCTGCAGTGTCTAAGCTCCTTGCTTTAGAGAGATCACTGTGCTCTGTTTGAATCTCTCTCCCTGCACTGAGTTCTAAAAATTGCCCTCCAGTAGACAGCATGAGTAGCTGTAGAGCTTAGTTGATTTGTTAGCATATTTTAGGGATCATAGGCATGTACTGCTTATTGTTCCAGTGTCTGAAAACAGTTGTTTCATACATTTTTTTTTTCAAGATGTGTTCTCACACTTTCATCGAGGCTGGAGTGCAGTGGAGACAATCCTTCCACCTCAGCCTTCCAAGATCATGGCTCACTACAGCCTTGACCTCCTAGGTTCAAGCAGTCTTCCTGTGTCAGCCTCCTGAGTAGCTGGGACTACAGACGTGTGCCACCATGCCCAGCTGATGTTTTTTATTTTTTGTAGAGATGGAATTTCACTGGGTTACCCAGGTTGGTTTCAAACTCCTGGTCTTAAGTGATCCCCTTACCTCAGCCTTCCAAAGTGCTGGGGTTATAGGCATGAGCCACCGTGCCCAGCCCCTCTTTTTTTTCTGTCTTACTATATTGGTTAGATCTATATCATTGCTAAATTGTTGTAATTGTTGCATATATCTTCTGTAAAGTGTGCTATTAGATACTGACTTGAAATAGAATAACTTTTTAACAAGATAAGAGTATTTTTTCCTACATTTTAAAGTGGAAATGATTGCTATATTAACTCCATTGTCCTTTTAGAAACTGTTGAGATGACTGTATGTTTTTCTTTTGCTCTATTGATGCTTAGATTGTATAGGTTTTCTTTTTCTTTTTTTGAGTTGGAGTCTCACTCTGGCGCCCATGCTAGAGTGCAGTGGCACATTCGCAGCCACTGCAGCCTCAACCTGCTGGGCTCAGATGATCCTTCCACCTTAGCCTTCCAAGTAGTTGGAACTACAGGCATAAGCCACCATGCCCAGCTAATTTAATTATTTATTTATTTTTTTGGAGTTGGAGTCTCACTTTGTTGCCCAGACTGGAGTGTAGTGGCATGCTTCCGACCACTGTAGCCTTGACCTGCTGGGTTCTGGTGATCCTTCTGCCTCTGCCTTCAAAGTAGCAGGAACTATAGGCACCTGCTACCATACCCAACTAATTTTTTTTTTTTAAATTTATTGTAGAGAGGCGGTCTCACCAGTTTGCTTGGGCTGGTTTCAAACCCGCAGGCTCAGGCAATCCACTCACCTCGGCCTCCCAAAGTGCTGGAATGACAGGCTGAGCCACCAAGCCCGGCCAGTGTTTTGATTTATTGTAGAGGTGAGGTCTCACCAAGTTGCCTAGGCTGGTCTCAAACCCCTGGACTTAAGCAATCCTCTTGCCTCTGCTTCCCAAAGCGCTGGGATTTCAGGCTTGAGCCACCGCACTTGGCCCAGATGATATAGGTTTACTAGTATTAAGCCATTCTTCAGCTTCTAAGTAAACTTTTTTTCATTTTGGTATTTTGATTCAATATCATCATGATGTTTAATTTTATAGCAAATGTTTGATATGTTTTTCCCTAGAATGGATGATGAACTTGTTGTTGGACATAGTACAAGATAAGACATCTCCAGCCACCCTCATACATTTGGGCTTTAAATTTCTTTACATCATCACCAAGGTAACATTTATGTAGCGCTTTAGAGTTAACAGATACTTTTAAAATATATTTGATCTAGAAGTTACCCTGCAAAATGTAAATTCTCAGGAAAGGTGGTTCTTAGACACCATGTGTGGGTTTAATTCTCTCTCTCTCTCTTTTAGCCATATGTTGGGGATCAGATCTTAGTGATCAGGGGTCTTTGACGGAAACAACATCCAAGTTATTTAGCATCTTGCATTTGAATACATTTGAAGTACCACCTAACTAGGAAGGGAAGATGGATGGGTGATATGACTAAGTCAGAAGAGTTTTTTACAGGGGAAAAACAAAATACTTGGTGGAAATAGAAGTACTTCTGTAACTTTAATGTGCTGATGAATTTCCTAGGGAATCTTGTTTTATTACATATTTTTTAGTAAGTAGGTCTGGGGTGGGGACTGATACTCTAGTTTTCTTACAAGTTTCCAGGTGCTATCTGTGTGCTGGCCCACAGATTTAATGTTTGCAGTTTTGACTAGGGGAGTGACTCAGAGCCTTCTCAGGGTGGGGTTTGTGTTTCTCAGGGGCTGTGTGTTAAAGGTTTCTGCTGCCTGGCAGGGAGAGCCCATGGCCAGTGAGAGAACACCATGGGTGGGCTGACTAGTGTACATAATCCTCTGCACCTCAGTTGTTTGAGGGTAGGATTTCTTCAGAAGGTGTGGTATTACTGTGTTTTTTGGAAGTGCTAATAATTTGGGGGCACTTATTCCTCATAAATGTTAGAGAACAATCATATAAAGGAGGTAGAAACAAAATTTTTTAGTTTGTAACATGTCTATATTTCTGATGAACCAATCTTTCTATAAGATTGTTAGATTGGAGAGAACATATTTAATGAATGAATGATTTAGGAAACAAGGATAGCTGCCTTGTGACTTTACTAAGTTGTATCACTGTAATAGGATATAATTCTCTTTTATCATTGAGTGGCATAGGTGGTGATTTTTTGATAAGAGGAAAAGGAGGTGATTTTATTACCTTGCTTTTTAATTATATAATCAATGTCTCTTTGGTAGGTTCGAGGATATAAAATATTTCTTCGTTTATTTCCTCATGAAGTAGCTGATGTTGAGCCTGTATTAGATATGTTCGCAGATCAGAATCCCAAGGACCATGAAGTGAGTGCCCCTCCATCTTCTACTCCACTTCATGCCTCTCCTTCCTGTTTCCCTCTATTTTATCTCATGTTGCTTTATGTCACTCCCTCTCGTTTCTTTTATTCTTGTGGCTTTTCCTTTACTTTGTATACAGATTACTTTAAATTATTTTCCTTTAAAATATGCCCTTTATAAAGAAAAAATATACCTAGGTATATTTCATGACAAATCTATATTGTCAATTTTTTTTTAACTTGAAGTGTAACTGTGTTGGGAGTTCCCAAGACCACCCCCAGGTTTGATGATTCTGTAGCAGAACTCACAGGACTCTGCGTATATTTATTCTTATGGCTATGATTTGTTACAGCAAAATAATACAAAACAAAATCAGCAAAGGGAAAAAGCATGTGAAGTGAAGTCGATTTGGGGAACCAGGCAGGAGCTACCAGAGTCTTGTCTTAGGTGGATCACAGGGCACGTTTAATTCCCTCAGCAATGAGCTATGACCACATGTGTGATGTGTCTACTAGGGAAACATGTTGGAGACTCAGTGCCCAGGGTTCTCATGTTGGCATCTCTGTCTTGCCTGGAACAAAATTTGAGATCCCTGGGAGGAAAGCAGGTACTCAGCATAAACCATGGTTTGTACAGTCTGAACCAGTGAGTCACTTTTGTCAGGTAGGGCTTGGTGAGAATCCTACTCACACTCAGGTTCCTGGATGCCAGCTATGGGCTGACCTTGCCAGTGGTCTTTCTGAGGACGGCAGGGGCCCACTATTTCTTTTCTGCAGTATGTGTTCAGAAGAGCTTATGGTATATAATGGTACCACTCAGTGAATTGTCTTGATGTGAATGTGCCTGATCAAAGCTGAAGACCTGGGGTCGGGGGCATTTCCCTGCTGTCCTGAACTCAATACCCTTCTTTCCTTAGTACTTCTAGTGCCCCTGATGGCCTGATTGCAGGATCAAATTGAAATTTTTTTAATTGATTACTGAAAATAAGGGTATTCCTTCGTTACTAGAAGTTGAGAGTTGTTTCTCTATTCTTTAGTCTTCTTGTTTCCTTTTTATCTGTTTTTTACTTTCTCAAAAGGTCGATTTGCATGTTGAAAGGTGCCAGTGAAGAGAAGCCATGATACTGTTGTATTATGATTATTCTTTGTTTACTTTGATGTTTCTTTTGTCTGCTGAGTTAGTCAGCAAGTTACGACAGTGGGTTGTATGGTGAGGATACTGGAGAGATGTGGGGAGGAGCCAGTGGGTTGTCAGCATCCCTGACCCTGAGGTAAATGGCATTTGAAGGGCCTATATGGGCACTGGGAGGTAGGTTGGACAACTAAATGGTATGTGGCTGGGTATTTCTGTTTTTCAAACAGGAATAATTCTTACTTTGATTTAACTTCTTAGACTTGGGAAACACGCTACATGCTTTTACTGTGGCTCTCTGTGACCTGCCTGATTCCTTTTGATTTTTCACGCCTTGATGGGAACCTCCTCACCCAACCTGGGCAAACACGAATGTCCATAATGGACCGTATTCTCCAAATAGCAGAGGTAAATATGATTATGTAAATAATTAGCTGCTAATTAGTATTGTCTTTCATGTTTATGCTGTCCTGATATTAGCATTTAATTTGGTAAGCGTTCAGTACTTATGTATTTATTCAACTACTATTCAATAGTATTCAAATACTATTTTTCAGGGAGTAAAATAGTATTTTTCAGTGGAGTGGGGGGGTCCCTGAGATTTACATGCTGTGGTGTAACTGTGCCTGTGCTTTGTACTTTCTTGTAGTCCTACTTGCTTGTCAGCGACAAGGCCCGAGATGCGGCTGCTGTCCTCGTGTCCACGTAAGTCCCTGTGGCTTCTCTGTGGCTGAGTGGTTGATGTATGATTGGTGTGTTCTCAGAGGGTTTGTCTGAGGTTCTGTTATGTGTTATATGTGTGTCTGTTAGTCCTCAGTCGGAGGGCCCCAGGGGACTCTGTCTCTCTTTTTTTCGAGTTGGAGTCTCACTCTGTCGACTAGGCTGGAGTGCCGTGGCACACTCACAGCCACTCCAGCATCGCCCTGCTGGGGTCAGGTAATCTTTCTGCCTCAGCCTTCCTAGTAGCTGGAACTACAGGCACGCGCTACCATGCCCAGCTAATTTTTTAAAAATTTATTGTAGAGATGAGGTCTTGCCAAGTTGCCCAGGCTACTGGTTCAGCCATGGGTCTTGAACCCGTGGGCTCAGGCAATCCACTTGCCTCGGTCTCCCAAATGCTGGGATTACAAGCTGAGCCATCAAGCCCAGCCTGTCTTTTTCTTTGAGGGAGCGTGCAGTACTGTTTGGGCACAGAAGACATCTGAACCTAAAGTGACCACCCTCAGTGCTGGTTTGAGGTGCTGATGGGGGTCACCTGACAGGTCCATTGCCAGGAACACAGGTCTAGACAAGGTGTGGCAGTCATCCCTGGGTGCAGCTGCCCTCCTGGGGATGGTGGTAGTAACGAGAAATTGCTCACACTGTGGTCTATGGAGATTATAAGTAGTGACTGGGTCAGTGTGGCTGGGGATGAAAATCCCCAAATGTTCTGTGTAGACTAAACCATGGCTGTGCTGCAGACTGGCTAAGGCTATTTCCTCTATTGAGCTAGGTGAATAATCAAAGCAGCAGCAGGCCTAGCAGGTCTGAAAAGATGTATACGTAAATGGAGTAAACTTGTTTCGTGAAATACTAGAATGGGAAGAAGCCGTTTTTCTGAATTAGTTTTTATTTATTTATTTTTAAGAAATAGGATCTTGCTTTGTTGCTCAGCCTGGGGTGCACTGGCATGATCATGGCTCACTGTAACCTGAACCTCCTGGGCTCAAGCAGTCTTCTCATCTCAGCCTCCGAGTAGCTGGGACTACAGGTGTGCACCACCATGCCTGGCTAATTTTTTTTATTTTTTGTCCAGATGGGGTCTTGCCCTGAGGCTGGTCTCAAACTCTTGGCCTGAAGCAATCCTCCTACCTTGGTCTCCCAGAGTGCTGGTATTATAGGCATGAGCCACCATGTCCATCCTAAATTACTATTTTATATGATGTGATTTTAAATATGTACGTAGTGAACTAAGTTAGAAAATTGGGCATTTCCCCCCTCCAAGTTGGTGAAAATGGAAAGTTGATTGTAAAACCTTTCAGCTATTTTGCTTGAGAAAATGTTCAGCACCTCATTCAGGGTCTCCTTAACTTGATTGTATAGACATGACTTTGTGATTTCCTTCTCTGTAAAGTGGGAGGAGAAAAGCTTGATTTCGTGGGCAGTTGGGAACATTGAGTGAGGTTTTTGTGAAGCATGTACTGAGCTGTGGGGCATAGCCTGGAGGCAAGGAACTGATTTTCAGAAGGCGAGGAAAGAACTCTTGAGTCCCCTGAAGCAAGTCCCCTCTACCTGAGAGGGAGAAACCACTGAACAGAGGCTGCTTCCTATTTTGTCAGGGACTTAAAGAGATTATATATTTCATTCTAATTATAAAAGTAAGCTGTGTATTTTGGAAAATAAAGTATAAAGTGCAAAATAAACCTGCCTGTGCTTTCATCCTGTGGGGATGTGACTGCTGTGTCCTGCCTTTCTGCTGGGTGGGCGCCTGCTCTGTGGCTGAGCCTGCACATGCTTGTTTGCACCATGAACCAGGAGACAGACCTCAAGTTTCATTGTATTCTTCCAAACACGATGACTTGGTGTGAGTGTGTTGTTGCTTTTACCGGTTTCCTGGTGTTGGACATTTAGATGGTTGACTTCCTGGTTTGTTTTTAAAATTAACAGTGTTGTGAGCAGTCCACATAATACTTTGTGCTATTCTGAATGATTCCTAGGGATGAGTTCCTACAAGTGGAATGAGCATTTAGGGGTTTGGTTGCAATTCCTGGAAAGATTGGGCAAGTTGAAAGTCCCCTTTCCTCATATTTTACTAGCTGGATCTGACCTTGCAAATGTCTACTAACTCTGTTAAATGAGAAATAGTATCAGCTTTTTTTGTTTATTTTTATTACCAGCAATCCTGGGGGTCTGGTGGACTTGTGCTGAGCTTAACTTAGAGTGTTGACTGTGTGGACCAGGGGAGGCAAAACCCAAACCTTTATTTATTCCCTGGAGTCCTGCTGGAGAAACGACCACTGGGACACCCTGATGGGACAGCCGGTGAGACTCCAGTACCATCTATTGCCAGGATGAGCAGGTGCTTTCTCTGTTGAGTGAGTTTCATGGCATTAAAACCCAAGTTCCAGCATGAGGAGAGGTGGTTGTGGGCTATAGGTACACCATGTTGTGTAGTCATCTCCCCCTTGGGTTCTCGACAGATTTTTGGCATGCTTGAGTATAGACAGATGCTGTCACTGCAAGAGTTGTTAGAAGTGCTCAGCCTATCTACCTTGGTACATCTCAGACTTGTTGCAGTTCTAATGGCCCGTATTTCTCAGCCACCTTTGGTGGGAGTTGTGAGAAACAAGGCCAGGGCTGTGAGGGGCGAGGCCATGTCAGCACTGGGCTGCAGTGTGGGTCATTTTCTAATATCTCACAGAAGAGCTGCCTGCTCTCACTTGCTCTACTGTTGAGCTTTGATGCCTGTCCCTAACTTGCTGGCAGCTATGCAGTACACCTGTTTCCCTTTATTAACTGGAAACTTTTAAGCATGGTGGCATTTTATGTAATGTTTGATGGTGTTATATTGTTGCCAAAACATTTAGATATGAGTCCTCCTCATAGAAACTCTTTAATGGAAAATATGCCTTTATCCTTATTAATTTTTTTAAAAAGTAATTTTTTTCTAATTTTAGAGCGAAAATACTCCATGCAGAAAAGTTGGAGATTTTTTTTCTTTTTTTTTTTATTATAAAGATGTGGGGTACAATTCAGGGTTAGGTATGCAAATATTGATTATGCAGGTACCCTTGTTGAGGTGTGCCCCTCCCTCCCCTAGCAGTTTCCCTCAAATGCCAATCCCACCCGCCCCTCCTACAGTTTCCCATTACTGCCAAACGCTTTCTTATAGTATTACAATTGTTCAAGGTCTGCTTATGAGTGAGAACGAAAAGTTGGAGATTTTAGAACAGAAATTAGCAAAAAAACCCAGACATATGTAATTGTAAGACACAATTCATGTATTGTTTCTTCTTTTTTGTACTGTTACTGCATTGTCTGTGCATAGCACGATCTTATCAAGTCAGTGTCCTTTTTCACTTAATTTCACATAACTGACATGGGTTGTGGTGGCTCACGCCTATAATCCTAAGGCCAGAGGATTGCCTGAGTCCAGGGGTTTGAGACCAGCCTGGGCAACTTGGTGAGACCTCGTCTCTACAATAAATCAAAAAATTAACCAGACATGGTGGCTTACGCCTGTAGTTCCAGCTACTTGGAAGGCTGAGATGGAAGGATTGACTGAGTCCAGCAGGTCAAGACTGTGGTAGCTATGAGTATGCCACTGCACTCCAACCTCGGCAACAGAGTGAGACTCCAACTAAAAAAAATTTTCGAATAACTGCTGATTTAATCATTCCATTATATTCCACTATGTTTGGAGACTGATCAGTTTTGTCACTTTCTTCCTCTGTGAGCAGTGATGGATGCCCAGATTTGGGTACAAACCTGTTTTGGCGTCAGGATTGTTTACTGAGTATGGGCCCTTGGGGGTGGACTTCTTGGGACATGGGACATGAGAGCAGTGTCAGGGCCACTGCACACCTGGTGACTCTCAGGAGCAGCACTCAGCTGCTCTCTGGTTAGTGCCTCATCCTGGGCTTCCTAGCACAGGCAGCCTCAGGAACACACTTTCCCCCGAATCAGATGAAACATTTTGTGGTTCATTACCAATATTTAATTGGTATTTCGCTGATTGCTGGTGAGTTTTCACACTTTCTCTTGGTTCATCCTTGTATAGCTCCTTGTGACCTGACTCTCAGTATCAGTGGATTCCTTGGTGCTTTCTCTTCTCTACTAACCTGTGTGTCCTCTGGTGAAGGATGGCATGGGCTGTATTCCCCAGGTGGCTATTGGCGTTTCAATTTCATTTTTGTTCTGAAGTTTCAATTTTAATGTTAAACCAGTTGTTTTCCCCTTATATTTATCTAGTTATTTTTACTTTTAAGTCTGAAGTCTTAACGTATTAAGAGATTTCACAGGTAGACATTTTAATTTTTTCTACCTTTTATTGTTTAACACAGAATTATTAATTCATTTTAAGTTTATTTTGGTGTAGGGTATACAATGGAGCCTTTCTCCATAGCTAACTAGTTGTTCTAATACCATCTTCTTTTTTTTTTTTTTTTTTTTTTGGTTGGG